GCCCAGTAGGGATCCATGGGGGCGGCCATGTTGGGAGAGTCCCATGGCCGCGGCCATGTTGCCGCCCCATAGGGATCCACGGGGGCGGCCATGTTGGGAGAGTCCCATGGCCGCGGCCATGTTGCCGCCCCATAGGGATCCACGGGGGCGGCCATGTTGGGAGATGCCCATGGCGGTGGCCATGTTGCTGCCCCTTAGGGATCCACGGGGGCGGCCATGTTGGTGCGCAGCGAGGCGTCATGGTGCGGGCGGCCATGTTGCCAACAGGCTCTAACACGTTGGGGTGGGGCGGCCATCTTGGTGCCCACAGGGGCGGCCATGTTGGTGCCTTGGGAACCCGCATGGGGGCAGCCATTTTGGAGCTCCCATAGTGGGCGGCCATATTGGTGCCCCGCCCACCCCCATGCTGTCGGCCATATTGGCCCTCCCCCCCCCGTTGTCGGCCATGTCGGCGCCCCGCCCACTCACCGCGCTCAGATAGGGCGACGCCCCCGGCCCCGACAGGGCGAATCCCGACGGCGCCGCCAGCCCTGGCACGGGCGGGGAGGGGGAGGAGCCTCCGGGGGCGGGGCTCCGCCTCCTGCAAGGCACCCGCCATGATGGCCTGGCCAATGGGGGCGCCGGGCTCCGCCCACCTGCCGCCATATAAGGTGTGAGAGGGGCGGGGTCACCTCTTCAATGGAGGAGGCTCCGCCCCCTTGGGCGACTCCCCGTCGCTGTTGTCGGACGACGCGGTGGCCTCCGAATCTGGGGGGGGGAGGGGGAAGGGGGCTTGGGTCAGCAGGTGGGCGGGGCACTTGGGGAAGCCCCGCCCCCTGGCCCCGCCCCTCCCACCTGAGGAGTCGTCGTCCACGTTCTCATACTGGAGCAGCCGGTCCAGGAGGAAGCTGATTGGGCGGGAGGGGTGAGAATGGCCCCGCCCCCTGCTATGGGGTGGGGCCAGGCCCCCATGGGGGGGGCGGGGCTTGCCGGCGGGAGGAGGGGCGGGCACCTCTTGTCCCGGGAGACCTTGAGGAGCTTCCGCTGGGCCCGGCGCAGCTCCTCCTGGAAGCACTCCTGCTCCTGGGGGGAAATGGGGC